AAGTTTTAGAACTAACTATAACTCCCCCAAATTTCCTAAGCAATATGGATTAGACATAACTATTGTTATTTTTTTTCTTTTCAGCAGAACAAACTCCTATTAAAGCATTCCAGGATGAATTCTTTCTGCATACTTTATACTGACAACCACAGTTCAGCTATAATACAAATCAAATACTTTAATTTTATTTTTCAGGCATAGTCAGCAAGCCATGTCACTGATAATGCCACCTGTGTTTTGATAATTTGAAACAAAAACTCAGCAGTGAACCCTGTTTTGCTATCTCTTGCCAATCTCTCCCCTACAGACTAACCTAGAGAAAAATTTGAATTTTGACGCTGTCAACCACTGTAATGTTGTTTCTCTCCCACAGCTAGGTATCAGCTGAAGATTGCTAAGATTGTCCTCATCAATGTTGTCTATATAAATATTGATCAGGGACTTTAAATTTCTAGTTCAATTCTCAGTTGCAATTTTAATCCTTTAAACTTGAGGGGGGCAGGAGATAGGGATGAGCCTTTCATGGAACGTGAGATAATCTAGATGCTCAAAGTTCCCAATTTCTCTTGCCAACTATTGACATATTATTTCTTGGTTCTGATAAGGATGGACCTCAAGTGACCATCCTTCCCCAGGTTTTACCTACAGCCGAGAGGTATACACGCAACATCAGTTTCACCCATTGTGTTTGTGTATATTCCTGCATTTCCAACTAATGGGCACAAAATAAATGAATCTATTAATTTAATAGCATTTCCCACATCTCATTCATGAGCCTCACAAAATATGTGACTTGGGAGATAAGTAGTGCTGTCCTTGGCACCCATCAAGTCCAAAAAAAGTCTTCACAAACACATTTTTAGTAGCAGAACCTCAACCTAAAGGGCATCTCTGCGATCTCAGAGTCTGGGACTCCTTCACTGTTTATCATGAGGTCCAGTTCTCCGTCTTCCACATCACGGTTATCCTACCTTCTGGACCCACTCCCATTGTTAATTTGGCATGTTCTTGGTAGATGTCTGTACAGAAAGAGATTCGGGAAAGGAGGATGGTCTTTAGTGACCTATGCGATCAAACAAAACTGTGGCTTGTGTGGAGACAGAATTAAAGTCATCCTTGGGAAAACAAATATAGCAGCCAAAGAAGACCCCAAAACAGAAACAAAGACTACCACCAGATATTTTGGCTGAGAAGATACATAATACTATCTTTTTCCTTCCAGAAAGAGAAAAATCAGAACGATGGCTGCTGTTAGCTGAGAACATCCCAGAGGCTCCTCAGAGATTCTGTGAAACATCAGTATTCAGGAGAGAATGTTCTCTCTCTGTGTGTGTGTCTCTCTCTGTGTCTCTGTCTATCACTCTCTCTCTCTCTCTCTCAACACACACACACACACACACACACACACACACACACACAGGATTCCATGGATCCCAACCTGTAGAAAAAATAGTTCATTCTATTACACCTTTAGAGATTCATCAAGTACTAAAGTACATTTGCAAATCTGAGTTCCACTGTGATCTTCCTACTTGTACAGGAACTGTTTCGGAAATGCAATGTAACTTTATTTAACCTTATCCCAATCCCAGATGGTAGATGTTACTATTCCCATCCTAAAAATAACTCAGAGAGGTTAAATAACTTGCCTCCTGGAATTTGAACCTGAAGCCAAATCCTGTTCTTTCAGGCTTTGAACTATAATCCTGAGGACTCCAGATTCACTTGTCTGTGTTGTGATAGATACTGTGGACTGTCCGTAAAGCTGTTGTTCTTTTTGAGTCAGTATCAGGAGAAGAAAAGAAAATCAAACTGCAGATGGTAGGTCAAGGGTGGAAACACCTGAGCATGGTGAATGTTCTGGGAGAGGAGTGGTGAAAACAGAGCAGTTTGTTGGCAGCGGGTTGAAGTGGGAAAGGGTGGAGGCAGGCAGGAGCAGGTTGCGAAGGCCAATAAAACCCTAAGCCCAATCCATTGTGTGGGGTGTTATGCAGCTGAATGACATACTGTCTATCAAGTAGCTACCTGGGTGTCCAGCACAGTAAGCTTTAGAAGTTAGGGCCTATAAAAGGGGGCTGAGGGTGTCATGGGAGTCCAACTCTCGTAACTAATGCAGTGCTTTATTTTGGTGCCAACCTGTGCTCGTGAAATGATGGATGCAGGGGAACAATCTGCTGTGACTGAGTGGGAAGGTCTGTTGTAAATGAGACACTGCTGGGACAAGTAATAGTAAGTAATTTTACTCAAACACCCAGAAAGAATCTAAGCTATTGGGAAGACCTGTGAATTATTCAAGGGCAGTGTGTTCTTGCCCAGGTCAGATTGGGTCTTGTAGAATCTTCGGGAAGTGAACAGTACAGTCTCAAGGCTGGAATGAACCATGTACAAGTTTCATCCTACTCATTAATTTTAGACAGTGAATTTGTTTCCAAAATTTATTGTTAGCTGCTTCTTATAAAACATAGATTTCTGATTCTCCTTAGAGCTCAAACCTTTACTATTATTGTGCTAAATTCTTTATCTAAGAAACAAAACCACCATCTGCTGACTTACTGCCAAAAATGCCTGAGATGACCGAGGTTGAATCAAAGCCAGGACAGGATCGCAACCCAGGTCTGTGCTGTGAGTGACAGGAACTCGGCTACTTCTGCCTGTTAGGATCGGCATCATTGGGAGTGAGGCTCAGGTGCAGAAGGATGGCATCCAACCCAGGAAAAAGATCTGACAACACTGGGCCTGCTGACCTGCGGGGCAGCGATTGTCCAGCGCTTAGCTTCCACTTCCATGCAGCTTACTATTGTCTTTTATTCTTAGGTGACCCCAGTTCCCACCAAGACTGTATCATATCATTCACAAGCTTACCTCATCCCTGTCTGCCTGAAAACAGAACTTATGAAAGAGAACTCTGTAGTACAGTCACCTTCCCTCCCCCAGAAGGTCCTGGCAACATGAGGTCAACATAACAGGTTTCTGAATAGCAAGTTTTTGTGGAAGTCTCCAGAAATGTGTATCCTCTATCAAAAATCAAGGGAACTGTGGCACATAGACCATCATTATATTTTTTGACATCCATGACATCTCTGTGATTGAAAAAGTTAAGACCCTGGGTTCTAAGCTTTACAAATTCAACACCTGGCTAGCGAAGAATGCATATCAATATAAGATTCTCATGGCACTCATTATGTATTGGAAATCATCAGAAATGGCACAGAACTGAAGAGCAGTGAACACAAGTGGATACGTTTTCCTTTTCTGCATCCCTCCATTCCAAAAATGTTTAAGCACTGCACCATCACTGAGCTTTTAAGGTCCAACAATTCAGGCTACAAATGTGAGCCAAATTTGTAACATTAAATTCCCAAGCAGCTATTTTAAAGGAGCAAAAAGAAGCAAATGAACAAAATCTTCTTCAAATCTTTAATTCAACCCAAGATAGACCTAAAATGACATCATTTCAAAGTGTTAACTAGCATTAGCAAAATTAATGAGATATATGCCATTTTTCAGTCAATGCATTTTAACCTAGATTGGATATTTCAATGAGGACTCAGCTGTTCCTCTATGATCAAAGCTGCATATGGCCAGTGGTTACCTTAATGGACAAGTTGGATATACATAATAACATCATTTCTTTTTCATTGATTAACAAATGAGGGCTGGGACCAGAGCTATGGCACAGCAGGTAAAGCCACCACCTACCTCACCAGCATTCCATATGGACACTGGTTCGAGTCAGAGATCATCCATTTCTGATCCAGTAATCTGTTGATGTGCCTAGGAAGGCAGCCTAGGATTGTCCAAGTGCTTGAGCTCCTGTGCCAATGTGAGAGAGCCAAAAGAAGTTCCTGGCTCTTGATTTCAAACCAGCCCAACTCTGGTCATTGCAGCCACTTGGGAAGTCAACCAGCAAATGGAGGATCTGCCTCTCTGTTTTGCCCTCTCTCTTTCTCTGTGGCTCTGCCTTTCAAATAAATTAATAAATCTCCTAACACTTAAATCAATAAGGGCAAGAGGGGAGAGAGTGCATGTGAATTTTCCACAGCTCTCACAGGGAACTGGTGAAACCAGCCAGAAAATTGATACCTGTCTACTATAGGAGCCAAGTCCTCCAGGTTCTTCCCCTTTCCCACCAGGAGACCCTCCCTCCACCCTTTCCTTCTTGGTCTCCTTTTCTCTTTGCCTAACCAGAGATGAAGTCGTCATCTAGACAGCACATTGTGAAAAGAGCCAATGAATGGGCTGGATTCTTAGCTGTTCCTGGCAGGTTAATGACCTTGGGCAAGTTGCTTAACCACCCTGGTCTCAAATTCCTTTTCTATGAAATAGGATTAGTTTCTCCACCACTGAGTTCTGAGGATTAAGTAAAATCATAAATGTAAACTTCTTATCCCCACATAGACACTGCAGAATTTTCAAGTTTTGAATGATTATTTTTTCACTATTTATATGTGTATGGTAGAATGAGTGAAGGAAAGAAAGACTTGGAGGTAAATCATTTCTTAATACATACTAAAATCCCTGGTTAGCTCTCCTTCTTCAGTGCCTGCTACTTAAAACTTCTCTGGTCTTAGAAAAAGCAGCCATAGCCCAGGTTATGCAAAAGTCCCAAAAGTGTAGGAGTTAGAAAAGAATTTTTGCTGGTAACAGAGTTTGCAAGACCAATGGCAATGCTATAGATAAGAGAAGGAGCCCTGAGAGAACCATGCATCTTCCACTTCCATATCTTTCTAAGAAAACCTCACACAGGGATCACTGTGTGTGAGGTTGGCAAGAAGTTTGCCATCCAAGGACATCACCTCCTCAGCCTGGAAATGGACTCGCACTTGTGGCTGAGAGCCCTGTGACTTTCAAGGAGCCTGACCAGACTTAAACATTTCCAGATCCAGAAGCCAGCACCATCCGGGCTGCAGTCTGTCTTCTGTAATGTAGCTGAAAGCAGTAGACCCTGCCCACAGCCCTGGACATGCTAAAAGGACTAACAAAAAGCAGGGAAAACTCACCAGTTCATTCTCCTCTCCTTGGTTGAGCAAAGCCCGGTGGTCCTTCCTACTGTTCTCCTCCATTGAACGCAGATCCAGGAAGGTTGCTCCTGGCTGTTTGCAGAAATGTCACAACCACCTCTGCGCTTGCGAGCCCAGGCACTGTTTGTCATTGCTGTTCTCAGGTGCTTTTAAAACCTGCTGGCACACACCTTGCCTATTAGACTAACAAAGGAAAAAAAGAAAACCCTTTCCCAGCTGCCGGATTGGCTGCTAATCTATCTGCTTGTTGCTGTTCTGTTTTGTTTTGTTTGACCTTTTTTCTTCATGTCACTTATTTACCGAGGTAGATGTTCAGTGCCTCCCCATGTAAGGAATGATGAGGGAGCAAGGATTATGGAACTGAAAGATAAATATTATCCTATGCTGTTAGCAAGCATCTTAGCCCAAGGATGGGGATGGCCCCTTGGCTAAGATGGCCATTTGGAAAGATGAACCAATATTTACTTGTTTACTTTTGCCTTTTGCGTGGCATATACATCCACAACCAAGACCCAAAGTAATCCAAATAATGAATAAACATTATTTTGTTACACAAACACAAAGCATTCAGAGCCTTCTGGTAATCGCAACTCCTCACAAGTACTTTGGAAGTGATATGCTCACAGGTCCCCAGAATGAAGATGCTGACATTGGGTCTATTCCCCATTCAGATTATTCATTCATCAGGTCAACATCTAGAATCAATAGTCTTGAGGATCTTACTTGAGACACCAAAGCACATAGGCTGTGGAAAAATTAATCACATCTATTTTAAGCTCTACCTGTTTGAAAGTCTGTAATAGACTTCGAAGCTTAGGCCATCTAAATCAGATGCACTGCAAATCATCTAGCAATGTACCCCAGTGGCTTAGCCAGCCTCCCACAGCCTCATGGTTAGCAAGGTCACTGATAATGAGCTGAGGTCTCCTATAGGAGAAGCAATCTCCGCATTGGCACGAGTTGCTTCCTCTGGGTCACTCTACAGTATTCCTAGCCATCAAACTCAAGAGACTCTCCTGAGACTCTCCAAGTTGTCCACCTAAAGAAGACAGATTCTAATCACCTGTTCCTGTAAGTAGACCATATAGTACTCTTATGAATTCAAAAAATAAACTCCTTTCTAATAAGGAAGAAGTTTTCTCCTTGGTATGGGACAAGACAGGGGCCTCCAGTGACAAGAGAGGAAGCAAGATCCAGTAGAGAAGACACAAAAATAAGAAGAGCAACACGCTTTCTATCCAACGTGAAGTTGAAGGAAAAAAACTGAAAGAATATCTCGGCTCTTCCACATTCACTGATCCAAACAAAACATCCAGAAAAGAAGAAAAGGACAGAGATAGGGAAAGAAAAGCAAACAGAAAAAAACAAAGATTTCTCATGGTTATACAGCAAAGATCTCTGAGTAGATTCAGGGCTCATGGCCAGATTTCCTGTGTCTTAGTCCAATTTATTTCCACCAGGAAATTTTACCTCCTCTCCTGCCCTATTTTCTCCAGAACTCTGCTGTAGACATGACATGCCTCCACTCCTGGCCCAAAAGATGCACACATTAACGTTGTAATGTGCATGATGGAGCAGGTTAGAACCACACTTTAAATTCCTACTTTACAGGGACAGGAGTCTCAAAGCCTACTTCCCCGTGCAGGTATTCAGCTCTGAATTGAATGTTTTGTCTGGATTTCAAAGCACTCTCTTTTTTCACAAAATATTTGTTTGTGTGTTTGTTTGTTTGTTTGTTTGTTTAGTTATTTATATTGGAAAGGCAGATTTACAGCGAGAAGGAAAGATAAAAATCTTCCCACCCCCCAGTTGACCGGATATGAGCCAATCCAAATCTAGGAGCCAGGGCCTTCTTCCAAGTCTCCCACATGGGTGCAGTGTCCCAAGCATTTGGGCCATCCTCAACTGCTTTCCCAAGCCACAAACAGAAAGTTGGATGAGAAGTAGAGCAGCCGGGACATGAACCATGCTCATATGGGATCCTGGCACATGCAAGTTGAGGATTTTAGACACTGAACCATTACTCCAAGTCCTCAGAGCTGTCTTGGTGGTTTCTCTTCTGAGGGAACCAAGGACTAAAAGCCACCATGTCACTACATTTCCAGCACACATGCTGCTGCACCTTGCCAGCAGATACACACTAAAAGAGTAGGTTGGAGACCACTTGTAGCAAATATTTGCCAGCGGGCAATAAGATTTAGGTTTCAACAGAAATAAGTGAGAAAGGGTTCCATTAAGGCTACTCTGCCTTCATGGCAACTGATGTTTAACCAGCACACTTGCTCCTTGGAGATACTATGCTGAAGACATACAAATACCTCTAGACTGAGAAGCCTCAGAGGCTTGGTATTTCCTTTCTACCAGCTCCTCTATTGGGAGTCTTTCTTTCTTCTTCTTAAATAAAACTTTGTTTCTTCTACTCTCGCCATTGTATCCAGCCTTGCAAATTGTCATCGACACCAGGACACAAATCCAGACTCATATCACCAGTTCTCCAATAAACTTCTCTCTACTAGAGTCTTACTGGAGCATCAATTTCACTAACTTTGTTAAACACCTACGTGAGCAGGATGATTTGATTAAGAGAAGCTGACAGCTTTGATAGCAAAAAGCAATAACAATTTTCAATGTTTTAACAAAGGAACTATGCAGAGCTAAGCTTGTGGTTGCTAGAAAGGGTTGGTGGAGCAGCAGAGGTGGGAGTCCTCCAAGCAGTGATTTGGAGACCCAGGTTCCTTCCAGCTGCAGTACCACCATCATCGGCCTGTGGTTTCCAAAGCCATTGTGATGATATGAAGAGATATGTATGAAGGATAACAAACGAAGGTTTCTGAGGCCTAGACCTAGAGGAGGTGGGCTGTAAGCATGTTGGAAGACTAGCTAAAACTCGGTCAAGTAACCACTGCTGCTTGCAAGATCACCTAGGAGTTGGTCTACCTGTGTGCCAGGAAGAAGAGGAAGTGGATTTTTCTGGTCACCTGGCAGTCTGTGCCACACAAGATCCTACAATAATCCCAAGCAAAGGAATACATCCAACTCCATCTCAAAGGACTCCTAGCTTGTAGAAAGACAGCTATTACAGAGGTATCTGTTTTGTAAGGCAGGAGTGGGGAGGGTTGCACTGTTGCAGAAATAATGAGGGGCTACAGAAACCCAAGAATTTCTGTATCAGGTGACAAAGAAGGAAGCGGTTTATGATACCTGAATGAAAGGCTTTGTGGGCCTGACACGATAGCCTAGCAGTTAGTCCTTGCCTTGAATGCTCCACAATCCCATATGGGCTCTGATTCTAATCCTAGCAAACCTGCTTCCCATCCAGCCCCCTGCTTGTGGCCTGGGAAAGCAGTTGAGGACAGCCCAAAGCCTTGGGACCCTGCACCCTTGTGAGAGACCCGGAAGAGGCTCCAGACTACTGGCTTCAGATTGGCTCAGCTCCAGCCATTGTGGCCACATGGAAGAGTGAATCATCTGACATAAGATCTTCCTCTCTGTATATCTGACAGCTCAATAAAAATAAATCTTAAAAAAAAGAAAGAAAGGCATTGTGGGCACTTTGCAACACTACAAATGTTAGCATGTACTTGAATTTCAAGCATGACTTATCCTCCATCTGAAATTTGAAATCAAATGCCTTTTGTTTAGTTGTACTCAACTCCTACCGCTTCCACTCCTGATCAGCTCCAGAAGAAATCCATTCACACTTGGCCTACAGACTGGAACAGAACAGAGAGAACTTCCATTAAGAAATATAAATAGGACCACTTTGCTTTGGACGCACATCTGGATTGTTTTCATGTCTTTGCTATTGTGGATTGTGCTGCTGCAAATATAAGACTACAGATCCCCTTCTCATATGCAGATTTCATTTCAATTGGGTATATTCCTAGGAGCAAGATAGCTGGGTCATATGGTAGATTTATTTGCAATTCTCCAACCACTCTCCATACTGATTTCCACAGTGGTTGTACTAGCCTGCACTTCCACCAGCAGTGAAGGAGGGTGCCATTCCCCTCACATCCACTCCAGCAGGTGTTGTTAGTTGAGTTCTGAATGAAGGTTAGTCTCGCTGGATTTACATGGTATCTAAACGTGGTTTTCATTTGTATCTCTCTAATGGTTAGGGAGCCTGAGCATCTTTTCATATGTCTGTTAGTCATTTAAAGCTGTTCTTTTGAAAAATATCTGTTCATTTCCTTTGCCCATTTTGTTATAGGGTTTTTGTTTTTGTTTTTGTTTTTTTGTGTGTTTTTTTTACATTTTATTATTATCATTTTATGATACAATTCCATAGGCTCCTGGCATTTCCCTTATCTCTTCCCCAATTCCCTCCCCCTATCCTAGTTCCTCTATATCATTATTAAAATATAGTTCTTCATACACAGTCATATGTCCATCATTGCAGGCATGGACAATGGCAGAGAGTCCAGCATCCTATTGTCAAGATGTAGTGAACAGTTTCATTGTAAGTCCATCTTTGTCTAGAAGTAGAAATGCATACTACACTGCATCCTTACATCTGGATGTTAGTCTCCATTTTACAGCTACTGTACATGCCCTTAAATGAAAAGTCATAATACAAAATCAACAATAGAAAGAAAAATAGAAATTTACAATGCCATGAAGTTAAATGACATGTTACTAGATATGACAGTCTCCTTTACACAGCTACTATACATCCCCTTCAATGAAAAACCACAAAACAAAATCAACATCAAGGAGAAAAAAGAAATTAACAACACCATGAAGTTAAATAACATGCTAAGAAATGACTAATGTGTAGCTGAAGAAATGAAAATTAAGAACCTTCTTGAAGAAAATGATGCCACTGCATGATCTGTGAGTCATTGGATGATTTAATCAGAAGAAAGTGTTTTGAAGAGATGAAACTAACAGAAAACAACAAAACCCATGTGATATAGTTTTCACTGATTTTTGTTGGTGAAGTGTGTCTCTTCTAGACAATAAATAGATGGGTTTTGTTTTTTAATCCAGTCTACTAATCTTTGATGTTTGAGCTTAAGCCATTTACATTCAGAGTTGAA